TTACAGAGAAAGTGATCGGACATTGGAATGTGCTGCCCAGGGAGGTGGTGGATTCACCATCTCTGGAGGTTTTCAAGATGAGACTGGATGTGGCACTCAGTGCCATGGTCTAGTAACCACAGTAGGGTTGGACTCGATGATCTTTGAGGTTTCTTCCAACCCAGTTAATTCTACGATTCTGTGAAGGCTTTTTACAGAAAACACATTGCTGCATGTATCTTGGATATCTGGGGCTGTGTAGAGGAAAGAAACACAAATCAGTGCCCTCACTGAAGGCCAGAAATCATTACTTGAGTTTCCTCTTTTGCACTCACAAGCAGCAGCTACTTGGCTTATCAGTGTGTGTGTATGATCTGTGTGGCAGCAGCAGCAAACCCCAACCCTGCCACATTTGGGTGTGTTTCCTCTGCCCTGCAAAGAGTGGGTGAGGGGGAGCCTGCAGTCCTTTTGGCATAATTTGCAGCTACTAAGAAAGTTTGTTGTATTTTATGATGACTACAGGGAAATACTCATATCACAGTGGGGTATTTTTAAATTAAATTTTTTTCAATGTAGAATCTGCAGTGTTTTATCATAGAACCATAGAATTTTAGGGGTTGGAATGGACCTTACAGATCATCTAGTCCCAACCCTCTGCCTTGGGCAGGGACACTTCCCACTGGACCAGATTGCGCAAGGCTTCATCTAGCCTGGCTTTGAAGCTTGGACTCATCTGTCTGACCTCAAGTTACTATTTAGACTTTACTTACTATTATTAGACTTTATTGATACCAACATTCAACACTGTGTAAAATTGTGTTAAATAAATTTACTCTCATCATGATTTCAGTCCTCTGCTTACTGAAGGGAAACAATTTGTTACTGCAGTAATCATGTGCTTTGTGTAGGCAAGAGATTATTAACAGCAAACTTGTACATGTTGAAATAATACTTTGTCTCTACCTACAAAATAGACATTTTGTGTCAGTTAACATGACAGAATGTCTTTATGTCCCTCCCCACAGATGATGTTTTAATTTCTCAATATGCTGCTGGCCAGAAAGAGGCTCTGAGAGCAGCATTAAAGCAAAAGTGAGTATGAATTGTTTTGTGTCAGTGTTCTCTTTCTGTACAGATATACAACTATACTGCTTCAGTTTCTGCCAAAATGCAAAGTGGGCAAGGAAAAAGCATTATTTACTGTTCTCTGTTAATATTCTTTTTCTGTTTATGAAGGTGTTTTCAGTTTATTTTATTATTCATTGCTCACTGGTGTATCTTGTTTATTTGGCATGTTTTTGGTAAAGCCTTTAGACTGTTTGAATTAGTGATTTCATAATAGAAGACTCAGGCAAGATAATTCACTTTGTACCAAATCCATGTAGTATTTTTAAAGACAGAGAAGGACACATGCTGCTTATCCATAGGCTGGAGATCCTGAGGATCAGAAATTTAGTTGGACTTTGTGACTGGAATCCCAGAAAGGTTTGGGTTGGAAGGGACTTTAAAGCTTATCCAGTTCCAATCCCCTGCCATGGGCAGGGACACCTTCCACTAGTCCAAGTTGCTCCAAACTCCATCCTACCTGGAACACTGAACTTCAAAACTTGTAAATATATTCCTTGTTGTGGTTGTAGTCACAACAGGGAAATGCCTTTTATATTAGAATTTCTAACATAATCCTGAGCAATGTCTCATGTTGCGCTCAAAGATGAGAGTAAAATTGTTTCTTATGTGTTGAAAGATTCAAGGAGAAAAGTTTTTATAGTGGTATCACTGCTACAAGTGTGAAATAATTTGCTGGGGGGGATCTGGAGAAAACAATACTGCTCACAGGCACTTGTTTGTTTTTATAGAACTCAAAATACTCCTGTGCTTAGGGAGGTGAAGGTACAGCTGTTGGGAAATGCCTCTGTGGAAAGGAAGGAAAGTGTTGGCCATGACACCAAGGCAGCACCCAGGGAAGCTGATTCTGCAGCAACCATTGCAGCAGCCACTGCTGCTGCCATTGCTACTACAGCTCCACTTCTCAAAGTGAGTAAGTAGCTTGTGGTAATAGTAACTCTGTGTCCACATGAAACAGCAGATGCAACCCTGAGATTCAGAGAGCCTGAATGTGTCTGCTCGCTGCTTTCGGCATGTTTGGAATCTCACACTCACTGAGCAGTGTGCCAGAGGGAACTAGTTTGGATTTGGCTAAATGGGCAAAGGACAGAAACCATTTGATTTATCTTTTAGAAATTCATAATATTGCTAAACCATCAAACATTAGAGCTAACTAGGATTTCATCTGTGTCTTTTGGGAAGGAAGTTTTGTTCTGCTCATGTTCTTTTCACACCTCTTCTGCAATAAGGTGTTTTTTCTTCTCCCTGTTTTTTGTTTTGGGTTTTTTTGGGGGTTTTTTTTTGTCCTCTCTTGCAGGTTCAAAATGATTTGGAAGCAAAAGTGAACTCGGTTTCAGCATTGCTTGATAAGCTGCAGGAGACAGACAGGCAGCTACAGCATCTGGCTGAACAGCAAAGCAATAAGAAGGTTCAACATGAGGAGCCTCATTGTCACTACAGAGTCAATGAGCTTGAAAAACAAATCAATGCTTTCATGGTGCAACGGATTCAGCATTTGGAGAAGTTACAGGAGCAGCAAATGAATATTCAGGTATCTAGGTCACAATGCAGAAGGTTTAGCTTAATCGTTTTTTCTATATCTCAGTGTTCATGTTATAATCATTGGGATTATGTCTTAGTATTAGAAAGAAAGATCCAGTGGCCAATTCATGAGCTTAGAGCATTTTGGAAAGTTTTATTTCTCTAATAGTTTAATTTCTATGATTTAATAGGGTATTTATTATGTATATATATATAAGTTACATTAGTCCTGTGGACTTTGTGAAAGGCAGAATGATGTCCAAGCCTGTCTGTATGCTGAGGTTGTTGCAAATGACTTTTCTCTCCAATAGCAGGTCAAAATCAGTTCAATATGTTTCCATGGCAAGTGTTCATGCTTAGAGTTTTGCCGTTCCTTCCTTGCACTTTTTACTACAGTTCCTTTCCTTTGTCAGGAATTGTAGCGATGGGACAGGGAGTAATGGGTACAAATTGAAAGAGGGGAAATATAGGTTAGATACTAGGAAGAAATTCTTGGCTGTGAGGGTGCTGAGGCACTGTCACACGTTGCCCAGGAAGGTTATGACCCGTCCCTGGGAGTCTTCCAGGCCGGGTTGGATGTGGCTTGGAGCAACCTGGGCTAGTGGAAAGTGTCCCTGCCCATGGCAGGGGATGGAACTGGGTGGTCTTTAAGGTCCCTTCCAACCCAAACCATTCTGGGATTCTATGAAAATGAATGTATATATCACTCAAGAAAGAGAGTGAAGGTACTCCAAGTAAGACATTGAGGTGGAGGAGTGAGTCCACAGAAGGGCAATGGAGCTTGTGAAAGGTCTGGAGCACAACAAGTCTGATGAGGAGCAGCTGAGGGAGCTGGGGGGGCTTAGCCTGGAGAAAAAGAGTCTCAAGGGAGACCTTCTTGCTCTCTACAACTCACTGATAGGAGGCTGTAACCAGGTCGGGGTCAGGCTCTGCTCCTAGGGAACATGTGACAGGATGAAAGGAAATGGCCTCAAGCTGTGCCAGGGGAGGTTTAGATGGGATATTAGGGAAAATTTCTTCACCAAGGAGTGGTCAGGCATAGGAACTGACTGCCCAGGGCAGTGGTGAAGTCACTATCCCTGGAAGTGTTCAAACAGCATGTAGATGTGGCACTTGAGGACATGGTTTAGTGGTGCTGGGGGAATGGTTGGACTTGGTGATCTTAGAGGTCTTTTCCAACCTTAACAATTCTGTGATTTGACGATCATAAATGCTTTGTTCTTTTGTCTCCTAGTCTCATCTCCTCAGCTCTGCAGTCAGCACACGTGGGTTACAGCAGAGCCATGTGCCTTCCTCCAGCCTCCTGGCAAAGCAATCTGAGCAGCCACAACAGCCATTGCTTCCTCATGAAGCCTCTTCATCTCACAGGAGTTTATTTCCTGCCAGTGCATTACCTGCCCAAGGTGAAGACGAATTCTTAGTATCTTATTTTCAGTATTAGTTTTGCATTTGTTTTGTTTCCATTAATATTGGGTTGTACATGGCAGGAGTGATGAGTAGTAAGCATTTCTTCTGTATCATTGGTTTTATTAATGCACTGTGTAACTTATGCCACAAGACTAGAGGAAATGGCTTCAAACTGAAGGAATGTAAGTTTAGAATAAATATAAGGGAGAAATTTTTGGCTGTGGGGGTGCTGAGGCACTGGCATAGGTTGCCTAGAGGAGCTGTGGCTGCTCCATCCCTGGAAGTGTTCCAGGTCAGGTTGGATGGGGCTTGGAGCAACCTGGGCTAGTGGAAGGTGTCCCTGCCCATGGCAGGGCTTGGGGCTGGATGATCTTTAAGGTCCTTTTCAACCCAGAACATTGTAGAATTCTGTATCTTTTCCTATGAGGAAAATGTTTAACATTTAAGTAACTTTGCTTTTTTTTTTTTTTTTTTTTTTTTTTTTTGTGCCCCCTGAAGCATATTCAAGCCATTTTCAAAGTCATGGAATTCAGACACAAAATTCTCCTCTGAAGACACCAGTTCCTCGGAGATGTGCTCCAGAACCTGTATCAAAAAATGGGAAAATGTCACAGAAAGAAAACTCTGCAATGGAAAAGGAAAATAATCCCAAACCTCCAAGTGAAGGCAAGACACTTCTGGCCTGATTAGTGTGGCCTGGGGGCTACTTTGTGAGGAGCTATTCTGAGCTGTTGAGTTGCTGACACTTAATACATGTGTTCTGAATATTTGAAAGTATATTTGAGGAGGGTTAGTTTTGTGAATAAATCACTCATACCTACCAAAAGATTTGATGACAGTGCTGGTCTAACCTAGAGAACCTCAGCATGATTGCTCACTGAAGTGTTTTCTCAGATGGAAAATAAAGTGCCCATTCATTGACAGGTTCAAGGAAGATTAGGCAGAATAATGTAAGACTTAGGAGCTACTCCATAAATTTGACACTATCATTAGTTGAAATGAAGTGTTTTGGATTCTTTCATGGATCCACAAGGTCTCTGGGTTACTCTAATGAGAACAGCATGTGTAAAGCTAATGTGGAGTAATTTTCTTTTGCTGCTTCTGATCAGATTAGTGGCATGAAACTCAGCTTTGAACACTGAATAAAAAAATACCCAGTTTTTTTACTTGGTTCTGTTAGAATTGTTTGAGGATCTAAGATTGAGGAAGAGCATTGAAAAGATCCACCTATTGTGCTCTAACTTCAGGGGCTAAATGTGTGTCTTTCTCAGATCCTTCTCAGACTGCTGCTTCTAAAGGGTGGTTAGACACTGGAATGTGCTGCCCAGGGAGGTGGTGGAGTCACCATCCCTGGGGGTGTTTAATGAGAGACTGGATGTGGCACTTAGTGCCAGGTCTAGTTGACATGATGGTGTTAGGTCATAGGTTGGACTTGATGTGATGATCTCTCTTTACTGACCTAATTGATTCTGTCTCTTTTACAAAGCTGTCACATGTTCCTATAGTTCAGTGGGTCCAGAAATAAATGAAATGAGACAAAGGAAGAAGAAATACTCTGTCGATAATGTCACAGAGTGTTCTCTGTGACTTGGTTCATTGCCATCACAGTTTCATTCATCTGTACTCTAACTTTGCTGATGTAAAGCAGAGTTAGTAAGACAGACTAGTGAGTGGTGATATGTACCTTGCCTTATCTGAAATAGATCTATATATTTAAATATAAAAATTATATAAATACAAAAATTATTTTTGCCCTCTTTGATGAGTATTAGATAATGGTGAAATATATGGAAAGGGAAAGAAAAGTATTAAATATATTGAGCAAGCCTAACTTTCTTTTTTCTGCCTTAGGTGAAGAGAAACTTCTGGAGCATATTCTGAGCTCTCAAGAAATGCCACTGAGACAAACTGAATATTTCCAGAAGGCAGCACTAAACAGCAACGGAGTGAGCTGTCATTCCCAGAGAGACAGGTAAATAAACACAACAATCCAAAACAGAGGCAGAGTTTTTGTTTGTTTTAGTGAAATTGAGAGCAGTGTGTTAGATATTGATGGTGTAACAGTCACTGGTGTGGTCCTTGAGCCTGGTAAAGCTGTGCTAGAAGTAAAGCACTGGAGTATTTCCATGCTACTTTGGCATTACTTTTGATAGGACCTGAGGGAACAGTGTAGAGCTGTGTCAGGGGAGGTTTAGGTTGAATTTTAGGGAAAGGTTCTTCCCCCAGAGAGTGTTTGGGCACTGGAACAGCTCCCCAGGGCACTGGTCACAGCCCCAAGCCTGACAGAGCTCAGAGGGGATTTGGCCAATGCTCTCAGGCACAGGGTGTGATTGTTGGGGTGTCCTGTGCAGGGACAGGAGTTGGACTGATGGTCCTTGTGGGTCCCTTCCAACTTAGGATATTCTATGTCTCTATGCTTTCTGTTGTACTGCAGGTAGATGAAGGCTTGTTGCTAAGGGTAATTCCTAACACCTTTCTCAGAGGTCACTGTGAGGCACTTGAGAGTGTTTTTCTGTCTCTTGAGTATATTTCTCTTACTTTAGCTGCCTGCAGAGTTGGGTGAGGAGGACAGATGTGCAGGCTTTGTGTGCAAGTGCCATTGTCAGTGAGACTCCAAGCTGCCTACTTATGGGAGCTGTTTGGGAGCACTTTGGGAAGGAACAGCATCCACCTAACAATTCCTAAGCTTTAAAATGGGTGAAAAAATGCTCTTAGCCATGCAATATTTTCTCTAGGCAGTAATGTAATGTCATAATTTCACTAATATAATGAGAAACTGCTGCATATATTGTCTAATTTATGATGATGTGCACAAAAGTATCAATTGCTTCACATGGAAAGGGATCCAAAGTTTAAATGTTGATCTATTGGATGTAGTTTCACTGTTGAAAATACAACGATACAGCTCAAGGTGTTAAGTGGTAAACAGAGAAAAATCCAGTAATCTGCCTGTGACTTCAGATGCAAAAACAAATTCCACTTTATGTCAAGGTTTGATATTCACAGAATTAATCAATCAGGTTGGAAAAGACCTCTGGGATCATCAAGTCCAAGCTTTTCTTGCACTCTTAAGTTTCTGCTTGGTTTCACAGTTGGCTACTTTCTTGGTCTACATGAGGAGCCATGAGAGGTTTAATCAGGATTGTTTCTCCCCTCAGGCATACTGCTTTGCATGCAGACTCAATCCCTGCTTTGGAAAGCTACAATTCCATGGAGAAAACAGTGAAAAAGGCAGATGATTTGCTGCAAGATCTTGGCCAGCTGAGAAGAGAAATGCACAGCATCGTACAGGTAAAGTCTGTGTTTTCAGAATGACCAGAAGTTGGAATAAGTGGAGTAGAAAAAACTCGGAGAAAGAGTTCTGGTCGCAGTAAGTGTTGCCCTTGCTTCTGCCACTCTGAAAAGACCAACATTTATTTACAATTACTTGAAGTTTTGGAGTCTCTCTGTGTGGAAGTAAGGACTTTTAGCCTGACTAATGGCTTCATGAGTGTGCAATGGACTAGGCTGTAGAGGCTCTCACTGCCATTCTGCTAAACATACAGATGAGAAAGAGAGAAAAAAGTGAATTGGTTTGTTTTAAGGCTTTGGGTATTTTCAGTGCCTGTTTTCTGCTTACTCTCTTCCTGTGACATTAGAGCAGATGTAACATTCCCATTTGGGAAGGAACAATGTTCTCTTTCTCTGCAGTCAGCTTGGGGGATGACTTAAGTTACTTCCTTTCTTATTTTGCCACTTCTTTTTGTAAGGAGTGCTGTTTGCACAGGACTGCCTGGCACACATCCTTGTGCTGTTTCTTGTGCTAATGATTTTGTCCCTTTGGTGCTAGGCTGGTTCTGTGCTGGCAACATGCAGCTTGTCTCTGGCTTTAGACAACTGAGGCTTTTGTTTGCTAACCTGGTTCCATGTGGCAGCCAAGTGTACCTGTGTGCTCTGGTCCTCTCTGTCCTGGTAAATACACACAGTGGGAAAGGAGGAGGACTTGAAAATTCACAGGGCTATGAGTGATGATGAGTGATGATGAGTGACATAATAGCTTTGATTCTGTTGGTTCATTTCTGTGGTTGAAGGTTTCAGCTGTCATATTTCCTACCTGCCAGATATTTGTTGTGTATCTGTAGAAAATGTGGCTCCATCTGTCAGATCTTGTACTATAGCTGATGCATTGTTTCATAGATTTTAGAGCTTACTAATGAATTAATTGCATATTTAACTGTTCTTATTAGTAATAAAATAGGTGCCATGTGTCCCATTGAGGTTGCAAATATTTGCTGACTGCTATTGCTGAAAACTTTAACAAGTAACATATCTTAGTATAGGCAACAGAACAGGATGAGATGGAAGAAGGAATAACAGGTGAGAGACACCGTTGACATAAATGGTTTGAAATCTTTTCTCTCATGGAAAAGGTCAATGGGAAGACAGAACTGATGACTTCAGCAAATGTGGAGTTGGGTCAGTTAGGTGCTTAGCTATTGACTCCTCATCATTGAGAGATTTGTACAGTGAGATAACAAATGCTTAGATCAATGAGCTCTTTGATCAATCACCACCCTTTGTTATATTTGGATATTCCATGTGGATAAATGTCCTCCTTTTGTTACAAATGCAAGCTCTGCATCAGCTGAGGACAGGAGGTGGTGCTCTAACCCAGCACAAGTGTGCAGTGAGATTGAGTAGTGCACAAGGAATTCATTGTGCCCAGTGAAACCGATCAAGTGTCTACTCTAGATTTTACCCTGGCAGAGCTGTCTTTAGATAAAACTTCAATAGCTTTTCTATCTTTTCAGGATGCAAATTCATGGAAATCTGACATGAATGATCTTATTAAGGTATATATTGATTTTTTTTCTTTAAATTTTTAAAAAATTTTTTTAAAAAATACTGTAATATTGAAACAGTTTTGAATGTGTCTCGTTCAGTCTCAGTGCAGTTCCTTGAGGGGTGAGTACCAACATCAGGCAGAAAGCTGCTGTCTCACACAGGCACAGTGGGGACTGATAAGTACCATTTCATGGTCTGGACCTACTTGGCAGCTCTACATCACTTTACAATTGCACATGGATCTCTAACTCTTACATTTTATCACCAATTTTACCTGTCAAAAAGTCTATTTTTCAAGTTAAAACTTATATGAAATTGGTAAATTTGGCATTGTCCTTTTCTCACCAGGCAAAGCCAGGGTCATGGGATCAGTATGTGGGTTTGTGTTTTGTTATGTTCATTGTGTCAGTGCACAGTTAGAACATGGACTTTTGTTTAATTCTCATTTGGTAAGAGTAGCCTTAAAGCCAAAACTGATTTAGGGTTTTTTCTGTTCATTCAGTTGATACTTCCAGAGTTTACTCAAGTTTGGATATTTTGTTTTGGAGTTTGTTTTTTTCTAATGTTACATTTATCCCTTTTTAATTTATTTTTTTAATTAAGTGAAGCACTTGGAGACCTCTGGGTTTCATCAGAAGTGTGAGAATGAATGTGAGCACTTGTTTCCTGTGTTTCTGTCCCTTCCTTTTGCATTTAGCAGCTAGTTTCTGCTGGATTTTTATCTGTCTGAAAGGGTTGGGCTAGGTAAAAGGCTGAGAGTTGCTTCATTGTTTCTTCTGGAGAGTGAAAATTAGCCGAAGTGGGAGAGGATCAAGGGCTGCTGAGGGGTTTATTTGTTGTTAAAACTTAGGAGCATTGCTTGGTGTTTCTTGGGGTTGACTGATGCCAAATAAGTGCATATATTTAAAGGACTTGTTTTTTATTAAGCTTTTAATTAACTTCAACTAGTGTTACATGGAGAGATTTGCATGTGATACTTTTTGTATCTAATTGCCATCTTTTCATATTCTTGTTAGCTTCATTAGCATTGCCTCTCATACTTCACATCGTTGCTTTTGAGATCTTTTGGATGTCTTTCAATTTTCTTGACTTCTAAATATACTTGCAGCACACTGAATGTTCTGCAGTAACTGAAGTTGCTGATGGTACTTGTGGATGGTGTTTCATGTGAAGGCATTTGATATGGGAACAGATGAATAGGGAATTTGATTCAAAGCTAAAGGTTCTGTTTCACTTTTAGTCAAAAAATCCTACTGTTGCATCTGAGCTTCCTGCACATCATCTGCTCAATAAACCATCCATCCTTCAAAATGTTCAAGTGCCAAGATCCATCCTGAGGGATGCTGAGAGGGTTTTAAGAGTAGTTCAAAACAATAAGAAAGTTCTTGAGGAAAACCTGGAAGCTGTTACTCGTGCAAGGGATGGAAATGCCTTTTATTCCTTCACTAACAGCCTGACTGCCAACAGGTGAGAGCCTGTAATCCAGTGCTTTGTGAGTCTGCTCATGTATGTGCTCACCTTTTAGCCCCTCTCTTTCAGGTTTTTTGATCTGTGCTTTGAAGAACTAGTGCACTTCTCTGCAAAAAGTGTTTATTGACTCTGCTTAGCAACATTAACTGATTCAATGGGGTTAAGCCCTCATGATGTGAGCTGAATTCTTGTTAGGCAACTGTTACTCCTTGCTAAATCTAAATTCAGAGCCTTTATCATCAGCTCAAACTGACCTCAGGGCATTTAGCTTTTCCCATGCAAACTTGTACTAACACAATTAATTAATACATCATTAATACAAAATTAGAGACTGATTTTATCGTTCAGAGCAGAAGAGGCTTTGTAACCCTGTAAACATTAGACTTGGTCACCTTGCAACACATCGTTGGCTTTTGAACTTTTGTTTCACTAGTTGTGCTAAATACCCTGCATTGAATAATAGAGTTTTTCTATTAAAAATACACTTTAAACTTGCATTTTCCTCAGGGAGGTAACTATTCTACATATGTAAAGATGTTTTTTCAGACATGATATCTCTCTCATTATCTTTCAGAGGTTGTAGTAACTTGTCATCTGCTTTTTGTCTTTTAAGTTGGAATATTTTTGTTGCCTTGTTTTATCAGTTTTGATCAAAGTAGGAGGTGACACTTCGCTGCTTCTTATTCCTATAATGAAGTTAATACATACCAGTAGGACATGGGGTTTGCAGGTGGCATTGTGTAAGAACAGATTGGGATTTGGGAAACTCATGTAGGCTTTGCTTAGTGCCTTTTAGAGAGTGTAGAGGTGTGTAATGTTACTGTCTGTGTTCTGGGTTTCTCTTTTTATGGTGTTTATAGGTCACTGCTTTTCCAGGAATTGAGTTGTGCAATTTAAAAACTGACCTAAAATAGTTCTTTCTTCTGTTCCAGAGATGTATTGGAAGAGATTCGTATCAGGAGGACAGTGGATGAGTGGATTAAGGCAATCAGTGAAGAAATCCAGGTATGGCTAGAAAAAAATCAATTTACAGAATCAATCAGGTCGGAAAAGACCTCTGAGATCTTCAAGTCCAACCTGTGACCTAACACCACCATGTCAACTAGACCATGACACTAAGTGCCATGTCCAGTCTCTCCTTAGACACCTCCAAGGATGGTGACTCCACCACCTCCCCAGGCAGCACATTCCAGTGTCTAATCACCCTTTCTATCAAGAAATTCTTCCTAATATCTTACCTAAACTTCCCCTGGCACAGCTTAAGGCTATGTCCTCTGGTCCTGTCACTAATTGCCTGGGAGAAGAGGCCAACCCCACCTGGCTACAACCTTCTCTCAGGTAGTTGTAGGCAGCAATAAGGTCACCCCTGAGCCTCCTCTTCTCCAGATTCAGATTTTTGCCTTGTATTTTTCCACCTTACATTGTTCTTCCCTGTCAATAGTTAAACATGGTTTACTCACAACATGAAAACGTGAGATAACTGCCTATTACCACCAGCATGTAGTATGCTATAATGAAATATTTGCCTCTGTTTTAGAACTTGAGTTGCTTAATGAAAATCCCTGGTCCCACTTGCTGGCTAACTTGAAAAAAAAAGCCATTTCTCAAAGCTTCAAAGTTACCCACAGACTCTTCTGATAGCCTTGAAGATAAAAATCTCCACTTACGACATTTATGTTCTGTCTTTAGGCTGAAATGGCAAAAAATGATTCAGAACAAGTGAAATATGATCAAAAGGTCCCATGGCTCAAGAAAGCCCAAAACATCAAGGCTGTGAAGAACCAGAAAGAAATTAAAGGCAAACCTCAAAAAGTCCAAGGATGCTTGACAAAGAAGCCTTTATCTGCAGCTAAGCCATTGCAGAAGCAAACAGAGGATAACACAAGGAAACAGAGGTTGAGAACTTACTTTTCTTCTGAACGTTCACAGAGGAAAGAAAGAAGTGCAGATGTGAGTTCTCAAGTCACTGGTTTCTGTTCTGGTACCAACTGTTCTGCAGTATCGATGTGAGAATTTGTGTGTGTAATTAAATGAAAGTAATTCCTGTTCAAATTTCCATACATGAAGAATTGTAAACTCCTTATTTTTGTCTTTTTGGTGTGCATCAGGGACCTGTGAGTAGAAGTGCACTGGTACAGGATGAAGATTATCTGTGTCAAGTGTATGGGAAACCCATTTACCATGGCCATCGCAGCACCCTGAAAAAGGCTCCTTACCTGAGGTTCAACTCACCCTCTCCCAAGTCTAAACCTCCCAGGCCCAAGCTGATAGAGTGTGTTAGAGGTAAGTAATTCTTTGATGTGGACAAGGTGTTCCTTCCCAGTATTTCTTTTAGCAATTCCTTGTATAATGAAACTACTAATTATAGTTCACCTGCTGTTCAACTTGAAGCTTAAGCAGCTGCAGTGGAGCACTGGTCACTGACCCATGCTTGCTGGTGTTTAAAAGGCACTTGGAAAATGCCCCTAATACCAGGCTTCAACTTCTGGTCAGCCCTGAAGTGCTCAGGCAGTTGAATTAGATGATTTTTATAGGTCCTGTCCAATTGAACTGGTCTATTTCTATTCCTGTTTAAGATGCTCTTTTCAAAAGTAAAAAATACCAGTAGGTTTTCAGATTTGCTTAGTGTGTCACTTACTTTAGATTTCCAGATAAATGCTTATATATGAGTATGTTATTAAATTTAGAGATATATTTGTTGTTGTTCAAGTCTTACAGAGCTGAGATGCTATAAGTAATCACTCCTGCAAGCTGAGCGTGTTGAAAAATGAACTCTGCTTTTGTTAAAGGTCACTGAGAGATGTGTTCTCCATGTCAGCTTGATCCAGTCATGTCATTTAAATGTTTAATTCATTCAGAGTTCAGAAACGTACTGAGATTTGAAACATTAAGGGAGCCTGAGGTATAATTTCCCACTTCTAACACCTTAATTGAAACAAGAAAAATCTATGGATGTGAAGATGATATCTGTTAGATTGAAATGATATCTGTTAGATTGAAAATATTGAAAGATGTAATCAAAATCTGTGGTTGAGTTCACTAAGTTCAGGTAACTTCATTTGTTAGTCCAGTCAGGCTTGAAAGCAGAGTATAACTCTTCTGTAATAGATTGTTAAGGTCTTCTGATTGATTGATAAAGATTATTAGTTGATTAGTAATGAATGATAAGAGGACTGGAGCATCTCCCCTGTGAGGACAGGCTGAGGAAGTTGGAGCTGTTCAGCCTGGAGGAGAGAAGGTTGTGTGGAGACCTCAGAACAACTTTTCAATGTCTGAAGGGCCTACAAGGAACCGGAGAGGGACTCTGTGTTAGGAACTGCAGTGACAGGACAAGGGGTAATGGGTTCAAACTGAAGGAGGGAACATCTAGGTTGGATGTGAGAAGAAAGTTTTTTCCTGTGAGGGTGGTGAGACACTGGCACAGGTTGCCCAGGGACATGGTGGCTGCCCCAACCCTGGCAGTGTTCAAGGCCAGGCTGGATGAGCCTTGGGCAACCTGATGTAGTGAGGAGATGTCCCTGCCCAGGGCAGGGGGTTGGGTCTAGATGATCTGTAAGGCCCATTCCAACCCCTAAATTCTAGGATTCTATGAATTCCATTCATTAGTTTTGTTGGATTTTATCCTAGATAAAATCTTAATTTTCAAATCTATTAAAAATGTGTAGAAGTTAAAACAAAAAGAGACTGATATCTGACATAGGTAATTTTAGGTGAACTTGAGTTAGTAGAATGCAATGTTTTAATTGGATCTGCTTTATTTCCTAGTTATCTTCTCCAAACGTAACTGATTCTTAATACAGAAACTGAGATGAATCTTTGAGTCAGAAAAACTAATGTGTATCCTCTCCCTGCAGGAGAGAGTGAGTAAATGGCATGATAAAAGATAACGATGGAGAGGGAGAGCATGGGGATGGGAGAGAGGGTTAAGTGTCAGAGGGAGTTACAGTGATCATGGGCACAATGGAGTTAATAGGATGTGCATCAATGGAAAAATATTAGCTGACTTCCCTCCAGGCTTCTTGCACTTGGGCTATTGTTACCCATGCAGGGACAATACACTTGGTGCAATCCTAAATGTCATGTTTAAAACTGCTGTCTGAGTTTTTATTATAGCAGTCAAAATCTTCTCTCCTGTGTGAAATACAGGGGGTTAACACCAGAAGGCAGTCACTTGATGAGACCATGTTTTTAGGCCATGAAAATGTAAGGTATAAAATACATACATGTCTTTGAAGACAAGCACTGCTGGGCTTGAGGTTGGGGTGGCTTTTTTTTGACCTAGGCTAGTGGAAGGTGTCCCTGCCCATGGCAGAGGGGTGGAACAAGATGATCTTTAAGGTCCTTTCCAACCCAAATCATTCTGTAGTTATAATGTACATCCACAGTGGCAAATTCTCAGAACAGTACAAGAATCTATTATTTAGCCTAATATTGTCTTTATGCCATTTCCTGGCACTTTTCTTACCTGTGCTCTGGAGCTCAGTTGTGATCCATGAAGAAAATGTTATTGGTAGAAAGTCCTCACTATTTTCATAACCCTCTTGGAAAATGTGAGTTATAGTCTATATATGTTATAGCCATATACTATATATAGTGTGTGTGTGTATACTATAGTTATACCTAGAAAACTTCTCAAAACTTCCTTTATTTTTTAAAAGGTGAGAACTTCATACATGAAACCTGCTACCCTTATTGCTTGTTTTATTTGCCCTCTCTTCAAACATATATTATTTTGGTGAAAAATAGGGTAATGGTGTACTCTGGTGTACTGATTTGAAGGACCAGCATGATCTATCACTCTTTTTGAACACTGGCTATGCTGCATACCTATAATTTAATTTACTCTGTACAGATTTGTTTGGATAAAATGCATGCTAGTAAGCACTTAGTGCAGCAGTAGCAGTGATACAGTCACCACTAAGACTTGGATTGGGAACAGACACTGCTTTAAAAATATTTAATCAGCAGTTCTCCTTTTGCTGAGTCCTAAATGACATTTTTCCTCTGTATTTATTGGGCTCTTGTCCTTTGCAGAAGGTCACAACCTTTCCAGGGAGGCCAATTTCATCATTCCAGAAACAATCTCTTGCAGAGTGGCAGAAGAGAGTGCCCCATTCCCTCTCAAGCTAATTATGATTAGTAGGTCATTTGATCGTTTGAAACTACCAGTTTCCTACCAGTACTGTGTGTGATTCAGTGCTGTCAGTGAAGGTGCAGGTTGTGTGCAGCTGTAACAAGCTGCTCCTGTGCTTCAGCTTGGTTTCTGTTGGAGGCAAAGGGAAATGAAAGAGAGAACTGTGCACTGGATCAATGCTGCCTTCAATCCTCACAACTCCTGCGTGTGACAAACACAGTTTCAAAGCTTTTTGCTTGAAACCAGAGTGAACTCTGGATAGCCTTTACCCACAGTGAGTCTCTTCCAAGCCATTAAGTCATTCTGCAGCAGCCCAGCAAATGTGTGTTTGCAAGAATAAAGCACCATAAAGTTTGTTTCTCTACTTCACCTCAGACTGCAGTGAGGAAGAGTCATGCTTTTATCTCTCTCATGACAGTAAATAAAATGAGACACCCCCTGATATCCTTATCCAAGGGAAGAAAGGGAGAATATGGAATTTTTTGCACATCATTTAGAGGAATAACACTCCAAAGAATATGTCCTGTTTCCAAGTTTGCTGATTTTCATGGCTTTAGACTGAAGTCAACCTTTGTTTGATACTGGCTTTGCTTGGCTTTCGGCCTTTGCTAAGACAGTTGGTCAAGCTGCTTAATTTTTGTGCTTTCCTACCTGTTGCCAAGAAAATGGAAAGGTAATAATTGGTGTTTTACATGGTCCTCACGAAGACTAAACAGTTAAATGCTTTTGAGAGCTGCTAGTGGGAAAGATGCTGTTGTGGCAGGGAAGTGTAAATAACAGAATTAGAAACAGATCTGCACTCCTCTATAGCAGGAGTGTAAATAAAATGCAACTGAGTCCAATGAGCACTTTAAAGCACCAAGTTCTTAAAAAAAGAAAGAAACAAATCTCACTGGAATTAGACATGGTTAGTTCTTCCCTTCACAGATCTGCACCCTTCCTGCCCTTGATGCACCAGGTGATAAAACCTTCAAAATTATTGGAAGTCTTTGCCTTGGGTTTGATTGGCTGGAAAATCCAGACTTATTAAATGGATCTGTTTTGTTAGAACAGTCCAGTGAGCTTGTTTTAAATTAGTGTTAGAATAAGGATGTTTATTTAAGACTGAAATGGCCATCTGGAGAGTCTCTTTTCAGTCATTTTATAACTCCCAACCATTTTCTTTGCAAATAAACTCTGGTGACTAATGCTTAGTTTCTTATGGGAAGTTAGGAAAAAGGCTCAACTAACACTTTCATGAGTAAGAGATCATTTCAAGAAAAAAAGTTGGAGTTGTTTTCTTGCATAATGTGAACTGATAAATATATGTAAAACATGAGTTTTTGAAAGCTAAGTTTAATTAAATGCCTACTCTCTGCCCAGTGCAAATAAACTTTTCAGGGGGAAATGAGAAGTTGAAAGCAATTAAAATGAGGTGCTGTATGTATACAGTACTTAATCATTCTTGCAGTGAGAACCTTGTTTTTACAAGTTGGTGGTATTACAGATACTCTGCCAATTTCTGCTTTTGCTCAAAAGTTCAAGGCCAGGGGGGACTGTTAGATCATGTGCTATGACCTCTTCTAAATCACAAACCTCTGAACTGTGTCTGTTTATGTTACTGAGGCCAGTCATTTGTCTTTGGCTATGCAACGGTTTTTCTGGCTAACCTGTGCTTTGCCGAGAGACACATCCTCATCAGAGGTTCTGCCCTTAGCTGCTTCTTCCCATGGCTACACCTTGTGGTTGAAAAATGAATAGGACACTTCACATTTAGTGCCTGATCTGTAGTGAGTTTTTTGCTTCAGTTTACAGCTGCTTCAGCCTTTGGATGTCCAATCTCTCTTAATATTTGCAGAGATACTCACTCAGTGCTGAATGCAGTGTTAACAGATATGGAAGTCTTCTGCTGCACCTCACTGACATCCTGTTGAGACATCTGAGGGTTTTATCCCATTGACCACAGCATTGTATTGTGATTTCTCATTCCATTGCATATCCAGTATGGCCATGAAGTCTTTCCTAGAGACTCTTCTTTCTGACCTATATTTTCTCACAGCAAGTTATGACTTGCTGTTCTTGTTTCCAGGCTTCTAACCCAGCATTTGTCTGTACAAAATTCCCACTTTGGGAGGGAATTGCCTTACTTGCTTGTCTGCACTTGTTAAAAGTCACATTATCAGTCTTTATTATCCCAAAGTCTCATAATCATTGACTTTCATTCTTCAATTAATGAATCAATCAGCAGCTTCTTCAAAGCTATTAATGTGAACAGGACTAGAAAGTGCTTCTTGCCACACATTAACTGGCCATGAATACAGGGAGAAACAGCAGAGGAGTAAGATGACATTTTTTTGGCTGTAATAAAGATATGGAGTTGGTTACCAAAGTAATTCTTTCCAGATTCATTTTCCTAACACCTACAAAATAGCAGTAGAAGCACTTCTGTTTCATTCATGATTGTTGCCTCCTTTGACTCCTTTTTTGGGGGGGATTTTCATGCAATATTTACTTGTTTAGATTAAAATTAATATTCTATATAATGTTTGTTGTTTGTAGAGAATACAAATGCAATAAGACCTTGCATGAGAAATACAGCATCACAATAAATGTTCTCCTCTGCTACATGCTTAAGACATTTTTACATTCAAATTACTTCTGTCTGGCTATGTAGAACACACTTTAAAAACTGGACCAAAAAAATCAGTGATTCCTTGATGCTGGAAGTCAAGACTTATGGATATTACTTGTGGCGTTATTTTCCAGTAGCACTAAGTTGTTAAAACAGGAATTTGGAGGCTGTACCTGTTCCTTTGAGTTAGCCTGTTAGTCCTGTGGCTGGAGACACTGTTTATAAAACTGAGGTGGTTAATCAGATGAACAACAGAGGAAAATTTGGCAATATTCTATAACCTGCCTGTATTTATGTCAGGTTTGCATGTTCTCCTAATGCTGCATTTCAAACCTAAATCATGGATTTCTTCTCAGCTGCTAAATCACACTTTTCATTCCAGCCTGCTACCATCCTTGTGTCCTTTCCTTTGTTCTTTTGTGCCTTTATCTGCTAGATTCAGCTTTAAAAAACACAATTTTAACTCCTTCATTGCTGTCAATACTGAGATACCTGCCCCAACCCTGGCAGTGTTCAAAGCCAGATTGGATAAAGCCTTGAGCAACCTGCTCTGGTGGGAGATGTCCCTGCCCAGGGCAGGGGGCTGAGACTAGATTGTCTCTAAAGTCCATTCCATGCCCTTAACATACTATGATAATATGATCTACCTTAGTACTTTTAGATTCTTCCCTTCCTGACTCCCTCCCTCATTCCTTCCATCCCACAGCAAAAGTTTATAATTGATTCATTAGTAGGGCTTAAATTAATAGTTTATGATGTCACTGGATTTGTGCATGTGTTGATGACATGTAGTTTATCTGCTCTTGTTGCAGGCACAAAGGTTAGGTCAGCAAAAACCCAGACTTGCTCTCACACACAGAAGGTCATCACCAGCCCTAGGAAACAGCATCCTGTGTATGCACTTGCCCAGGAAAATCAGTATCTCTTCAGTCCAAGTGGAGATGTTCCTGCAGCCAGTGACTCCCTTGAAGGTCACCTCATTCCTAGGGCTATTCCACTAGGTAAGAGCAAATAACCTGGTTGTGTGGAGCTTAATTGCTGCTGCTTCATGGAAATACAGCTTAGATGTCTTTAGTCAGATTTGGGGGTTGGGGCTAGATGGTCTTTTAAGGTCCTTTCCAAACCAAACCACTGTGTGATTCAGTGATTTCCCCAGGCCCATGACATTTGCAGCTATCATTGTAGGAAATCTGGGGAATCAGTTTAAAATGTTCTAGTTCTCTTCACTTGTCATGCTGGATGTCTGGGGACAGCCTGGCGGAGCAATTGTTTGCTTAGCACTACCTTTTTTGGTACACTTTATATTTCTAGGGTTCATGTTCTGACTTGAAGTTTGGTATCTATGTAAGCAGGAATCACAGAATCACTCGAGTTGGAAAAGTCCAACCTATGACCTAACACCACTATCTCAACTAGACCTTGACACTGCCATGCCCAGTGTTTCCTTAAATACCTCCAGGGATGGTGACTCCACCACCTTCCTGGGCAGCACATTCCAGTGCTTTCTGTGAGGAAATTCTTCCTAATGTCTAACCTAACCCTCCCATGGTGCAGCTTGAGACTATGTTCTTTCAGCCTGTCACTGGTTGCCTGGGAGAAAAGACTGAGACCACCTGACTACAACCTCCAGTCAGGTTGAAAGGAACTGTATCACTGGCCCACAGATTCAACATTTAGACATCCTTCAGCACAAAGTCCTTGTCGTGACTTTTTGGCTTTTTGTTGTTTTTGGCTTTGACTTTTGTCATGACTTTATGTATTGCCATGACATTTTTTTGGACCTTCAGTAGAACATCTACATAGGCCTTGTTGTGGAAGGTTTAGTATTATATTAACATTGAAATAAGATAATTTTTTTTTAAAGATATCTCAAACAAAAATTTGTGGGATGCTACACTAAGTGTAACAGTGTTTTGGATATGATTAAGAGATGGGGTGTGTTGTTTTTGAACTGCAAACACTGTACTTATTCTTGTTTTCAGCAGAAGGTGTCACTGTAGGCAAGAAAAGTGAATCATTTTTAAAAAGGGCAATGCTGAGTTAACAATTTTTTGCTGGGAAAGCCTCAAAATCACCTGGTGAATCACCATAGTTTAGCTAGTGTTAATAGAGACTTGTTAATTGGTCTGTAATTGCACAGAGGATCTCTGCCTGTCTCACATGAAACACAAACACACAGAATGTAAGTTTAATTAGTTTATGAATTTACTGACTTTGGAGATTTATCTGTGTCTTTAATTATTTGTCAACTGTCCTTAGGTCAAACCCAAATTAGCAACACATCCCTGCAGCCTGCTGGGGTGGTCATGGGGAAACCACACCCTGTGACAGTTACAACCTCCTTCCCTCAAGTGCCACAAAAGCCTCCAGTTGAGGTAAAAAAGCCAAACATAGCTGTGATAGAGATGAGATCAGAGAAGAAGGATCCACCTCAGCTCTCTGTGCAGGTACACATAAAGAGTGATGATTATTTGTTTGTTGTTTGTATAAATCACTAACACACTTGGACATCAGTAGGTGGTTTTCAGTGAGCATTACAAACATAGACTGGAGGGACCAAGCTGTTCTCATGCTCTGCTAATATTTTTATTCATATTTTAACAATTATCTGTATTTTTTCACCAAAAGAGAAAACTATTTCTTCCTGAAGTCACCTATACAAAGTGTTTGTAAAATAGATCTATGTCACATTTTCTCTTTCTAATGAGATTTTTGAGCCAGAGCAAACTTGGAATCAAAAAAGGTATAAATACAAATGTCAGCTTTCTTGGCTGACTGCTTTGGCCTTTAAGATTTCTGTTTCAAGCATGAATGTTTCGCTCCTGATTAATCAAGCACTGCAGTCCTCACCTAGTGGGTTGGGGTTTGTTGCTTTAATTTTTCACATGAGTCTGTTGTGAGGGAAGTGAATGTTTCTTACGTGCTCATTATTTTGGATTCAAATTGTTGAGACTATACACACTCCTACACACACCTTTCAGACACAAATGATTCATGGAGCTCAGAGTTAAATACAGGGTGAGTGCTAGGTGGTTTGTTCCCTTGCTGTGTCACTTTATTCCACCCACATGTCATTTCACCCAGTTCTTAAATGTTTAAGATGATTTTTCTTTTCCCCAAGGAATTAAGCAAGTGTTTAAATCTTTGTTCTTTACAGAAATAAAACACATTTTGGTGTCTTTATTACCAGCTGTATTGTAATACAGTGATGCCTTTGTTTTACTCTACCAGATGTATGACAACATGAAGCCAATAACCAGCCTAACACAGTGGCTTGTGGGCCAACAGAGTGTAAACTAATTGCAAGTCTAACACACATCTGCTATATAAACCATTGCACATTCACCTCTTGTCACATACAAGACAAAGTATCGGGAAGCTAGAGAATGGGAGGAATTAGGTGCTGGAAGAAAAGAGATTAATATTTCTGCCATTAGTTTTTGATGTTGGTGTTTTGTTTTTCTGAACCAAGTAGATACAGGCATGAGATAAGGAGGTCGCTGAAATTTAGTGGCTTAGTAGCAACTGGGAGAGAGAATGTAAAAAATTCTTAGAATCAGAGGTATTTTTTAACCTTAGTGATTTGCAGGTTGAGGGAGGTGTTTCTGCCCCCTTGCTCTGCTCTTGTGAGAGCCCACCTAGAGTACTGTGTACTGTTCTGGTGTCCTCAACATAAGAGGGGCATGGAACTGTTGGAGTAAATCCAGAGGAGACCGTGTTGTTGATCAGAGGATTGGACCATGTCTGCTACAAAGACAAGCTGAGAGAGTTGAGGGTATTTAGCCTGAAGAAGGTTGTGTGGAGACCTTATAGCAACTGTTCAGTATCTGAAGGGACTCCAGGGAAACTGGGGAGGGATTCTTTGTTAGGAACTGTAGTGATGGGACAAGGAGTAATGGGAATAAATTGAAAGAGGGGAAATTTAGGTTAGGTATTAGTAAGAAGTCTTTTAATGTGAAGGTTCAAGGCCAGGTTGGATGGGGCTTGGAGCAACCTGGTCTGGTGGGAGTGTCCTTGCCCAGGGCAGGGGGTTGGGACTGGATGGGCTTTAAGGTTCCTTCCAACCAATTCTATGATTCTCTAAGGTCATTGAGCTTGGCCATTAACCTGACACTGACAGGTCCATCACCAAACCATGTCCCTAAGCATCACATGTACATGTATTGTGAACACTTCCAGGCATGGTGATTGCACCACTTCCCTGGACAGCCTGTTCCAATGCCTGACCACCCTTTCAGTGACGAATTTTTTCATAAACCTGCCCTGGTACAACTTGAGGCAGTTTGCTCTAGTCCTATTGCTTGTTACCTGGGGGAAGAGACTGACCCCCACGTGTCCACAAGGTCAACAATAATAGCCAAGCTGAAACAGATTTTTCAAACTGATGCTTTTTCTCTGCTCTAGGTGTTACCAAACGTAGATATTGGCAGTGTTTCAAGTGACAGTGTGAGTGTAAACCATGTCCCTCCAGACACTGAAACTCCACTTCCTCCTGCTGATGCTGTGATACAGGTATTGATTTTTCTAAATGTCTATGAATTCAGAGTTGTTCAAAAAGAAAATTTGTGAAAGTACTACAAAGTTATCTCATTGTCTTGATTTAGTGAAAGAAATGAGACAGTTCCAGGAAAAATGGAGTCATTATTCTAAAGGATTTATAGTATAAGGTATTTGTTTCAGAAAATAAAAAATTGTAGCAATGCTCTGTTCTTCCAAGATTAAATAATCCGCATAGCAAAACTCTAAGAAAAACAGTGTTTCTGTGTCCTGTTAAGAATTACAAGCCCTTATTGGTTCATATATGCCTTGTTTGCACTGGCTACAGCGTTCTCATGTGGGGACTGAGGGGGTTCTTAGTTTCTCTCTCTGCTCCTTGGCTGTTCTGAGGTGATTAGTGGCCTGTGTGCACAGCCTGATCCATGGGAGCCTGTGGTGTGTGGAGCTGGCTAGTCCATTCTCTTTCCATATATCTCTTCAGAAGTGTTTTTAGTTTAATCTAAGCAATAGTGAAGGGTTTGTACAACTAAAATGTTCATTGCTGCATGCTGAGTGATGAGGACAGACTGGACAGTGGGAAGGCACAGGGATGCAGTGATGATGATTTTTGTGTAGTTATTATACATTGTTTTCCCTGTGTGTTACCTGTTACTGGGTTTTAAGGAGTTAGTTCCTTTAGAGTCTTGTGGTCAGGGTATTCACTGAGTAAGACAGAAACCCTGGACTAAAGTAGTGATTATTATTTTTAGATTGTACTATTAAATAATGCTGTATAAATTGCACATAGAGAAATTGTTAAGACTCTATTGCCCTACAGCTTTTGCTGTTGAAATATTCCATTAGATTGGTAACAGCAGACTTTGTTTGTCAGCATGCAAGAGGAAGTTCTAATAATGTCTATGCTATGCAAAGAAATTCCTCTTGACTTTTAAGGTGGAAAAAGGATTTTTTCTCAATTCAGACCATGGACAGAAAGTGGTGATTTAATTGCATTCTTGTCATGAACTTTTTCTGCTAATGCATTTCTCCCCCCTCCCAATATGAAATGCCTGACAATTCCAATCTGTCTTTATAAGACTCCAGAAGATGTACATAGCGAGGAGGAAGACACAGACTTCCCAGGGACTAATTTCATTGCTGTCACTGATGTCGTGCAGGTAATCATATAGCAAAGTGTCCTTTCCTTTTAAACACTTTCATATTTGTTTTATGTTATTCTCTCCTAACTGAAAATACAACATAAAAAATTAATTTGCTTTCCAAGCAGCTTTAAAAGTCCATTTTGTGAGTAGTACTGAACTGTTTGCATTGCTATAAAGAGTATTTGAAACTACTGTGTGGTGGGAAGTAGAAGAGCTTTTGAAAAATTAGAATAAAGAGCTAAAATTAGGCTTTATTTGGATATGTTAGAATCCACTAGAAATATAAGTAGTTCTCTAAAATCAGCAGTGATTATAGCACTTGGATGTCACAATTTAAAACTCTGAATGTAGTGCATATAATGACAGGCTGAGAGAGCTGGAGTTGTTCAGCCTGGGGAAGGGAAGGCTCCAGGGAGACTTTGGAGCCACTTGCAGTGGCTAAAGGGGCTCTGAGAGAGCTGGAGAGGGACTTTGGGCAAGGGGGAATGGCTTCACACTGCCAGAGGACAGGAGTAGATAGTAGGAAGGAATTCTTCCCTGTGAGGGTGCTGAGGCACTGGCACAGGTTTCCCAGAGAAGCTGTGGCTGCTCCATCCCTGGGAGTGTTCCAGGCCAGGCTGGATGAGGCTTGGAGCAACCTGGGCTGGTGGAAGATGTCCCTGCCCATGGCAGGGGGTAGAACTGGATTATCTTTAAAGTTCCTTCCAACCCAAACCACTCTGTGATTCTGTCTTAGATGCTCTTACAGGTTTTAAGTAAGATGACCTATGTTCTAAAAGTGAAAGTATTTTCTGTGGGTTCCTTTTAGTCCATGTATTTTGTTTCACCTTTTCCGTGTGCTCCTGACCCCCAGAATTAGAGTAAACATCAAATAGTAACTCTAGCTACAGGTCAGTATGGGGGATTCATTTTTAAAATGAATTCATGATTTAATTTATCAGTTAGTTAACATAGCCCTAAATTGGTGCTTTGTCTGTCAAAAGTGTGAAAATGCTTTAGTCATTTATTAGTTTCAAAATGACCTCATGCTCTTGAAGAGGAGCAGCTAAGTCTGTGTGGACATAGTTCTGCTGTATGCACAGAAAAAGGGCTTTAATTTATGAAACTAAGAATGTTATTTAAGAAATCAGTTTATAAACTAACCCCAAAATGCTGCAAAGTTAAATTTTAATATGTGAATAATAGTTATTCATCTCTTCTTTTTAATTTTTTTTTCCTGGATTGCTTTTATCTTTTCTTTTTGGCAATAGGATATGTTCTAACCACAACACCAAAAAATGTTCCAAGTGAAACATATGTTTGGCCTATGACCACACAGACAATGCTTTTAAAAAATGTGCAAGGCAAACAGAATGTGGAAGCAAAAAATCAATCTCTGGACTGCCAGGGGGATTTCAGACATCAAAAGAAAGCAAAGTAGTTGTTATAAGAGAGTCTTCAGATTCATGAAAAAGTGTGCATAAACTGCTGTATAGAAAAATAGCTTTTGTTGTCTTCCCCCCACACCCCTTTTGTTATGAAAACTGAGTTCTGATAGAACTGAGGAGGAGAAGTATTTGTGTATTATCTTTTTCTTTTTTTTTTTTTGCCTTTTTCTGTTTTTTTATTCCCTGGAAGTGTTCCAGGCCAGGTTGGATGGGGCTTGGAGCAACTTGGGCTAGTGGAAGGTGTCGCTGCCCAGGGCAGGGGGTGGAATGAGATGGTCTTTAAGGTCTCTTCCCAATCCCAAACTGTTCTGGGATTATTCTAGAGTGAGAAAATTTGCTCAGCTAACATGAGCCCCAAATGGACTCTTTAGACTCCAGCTCTTATGAGCAGCCATATCCTGGGAAAACTTCCTGAAGTTTAAGATTAGGGACACATTTTGATCTCTCTGACCATACTCTAATTATCATAGAATAAAATCATAGAATTTAGGGGTTGGAATGGACCTTAGAGATCATCCAGCCCCAACCCCCTGCCCTGGGCAGGGACACCTCCCACCAGAGCAGGTTGCTCAAGGCTTTAGCCAACCTGGTCTTGAACACCACCAGGGTTGGAGCAGCCACAGCCTCCCTGGGCAACCTGTGCCAATGTCTCACCAATTGCAAGGTGGGCACTTGTTTTTCAGACTTTTTCCTTCCAATTGGAATTCCACTGCAGTACACTGCAGAGCTCAGAGTAGATGTGTTTCCCTCAGCCCTGATTGGGGACAGTGATGTTTTTACACAGATGACTCACAGATCACAGGTGACACCTGCAATGCAGCCTGACCTTGCCTAGGAGAATTGCTTTAGAAATCCATCAAGAAATCCATGACTCAGGTTTTGGGAGGCTTTAATGAAAGACTCTGCATATACATGTTTGGTAATGGAACAAAACTAATCTATACTACCTAATAATTCCTAACTTTTTCTTAATTATCTGAATGTAATTTGGGAAATAGAATTTCAGACTGATACTTTATTATAAAGTGCAGTGATTAATATTCCAATCATATCTGAAAGACTTCTAATTTATGCCATATTTTGATTGGGAGTCATGATGGATATTTGTAACAGCCTCCAGGGAAGTAAAATGCAGAATTGAATGCAGATGATTCAAGATTGGTCTACAAGGTGATATATGTTCAAGTTCAATCTGTATAATTAAATACTGACTATTATATTATTTTTTTCTTTCAGCAGAGATAATATATCACCCCAAAATGAACATAATTTTCTTTTAAATTTGGGTGCTGTTGTGGATTTGTGCACTGTTAAATATGAAATATTTTAGAAATGCAGGAGAACTGCAGAAGTTTGTCAGAGTTCCTGAATATATGTAAGATTTATTGTGTGTACTTGGTTTATTTAATCCAGATGTTTGTGTTTTGCATACTTTCAGAAGTATTAAATAGGCAACATCAAAGCAAATTTATGGAGCAATGCAGGCAGAGGAAAATGCATAATGAAATGCTGGACAAAGACATCTTTACATTTGCTGTCAGAGAGAATTGTGGTGCTGAGTACATATCTCCTAACAGCATGAGCTGCTTATCAGCTTGCAAGGCCTTTCAGAGTTTAACTTCACTGTTTATTTCTAGGCCTAGGAAGGTTTAGAGATCTTTGTTTGTCACCAAAATATACATACTCTGCTTTTCTTGCTTCTTGGAAGAATTACCACTATTTAAACACCCAGGAAGCTCCTGTTCCCCAACAGCTCCTCGTTGTAATACCCATCAGGGACCTCTCTGACTTTGCAGGTTGAAAGTGTATTAAAAATAAAGTATAATTATTAAGTTATATTAAGGTAGGAGAGAAGTATCAGTGCTGGGTTTGAGAAGGAGACAGGAAAAGGTAACTATCCTTTCTTTTTTCCTCTGTTCTTTCTGTTTTCAGTGACTTGTTCTTTCATTCACTGATAATATATAGCATGGGATTTTTTATGTTATGGTTTAAAAGTAAGTTTAATTTATATAAGGGAAAAGAAGACTTTTTTCCTCCTTTCACTGTGTTGAGGTTAATCTTGGTAAATGTGGATTTACAGTGAGCTCTTTTATGCACCATGACATACTTCTTACTGGTAATTTAGGGCTCAGCTCTTTCTGGCATGCCAAATTTTCTTCTTAGAGAATCATGTTACTATTAGAGACATTTGTTTCTGATATTATGAGTGAAGGATGCAGGTCCTCATCCATCAGGAGATATTACAGCCTGATGGGTTAGTGACTGCTTTTTGGGACTTAGGGCTGTACATGTGCTCCAGGGGAAAAGGAGGAGAGAGGTGCCTTTGAGAACAGCCAAATGTGGCAATACATACCAAGTAACTTCTCTAACTTTTTAGAAACAGCACATTAACGTTGAAATCAAGATGTCTGTGAGGATCTTGTGAGTTATTACCCACAAATACCTTTCAGCTTTCAGCAGCTGAAGGTAATGAGAGTGTGAACACACATGTAACATATGTGTGAACTATTCACATTTGGTCTTCAGTACTGGCAAGTTTGTTAGAGTTTTGACTGACTACATGCTCATTAACTGTGTTTTTTCTGACTGGAGGCTTGAAAGTAAAGGTTTAATTTGTGAAATAAATGAAAAGAAAGCCACCCAAAACCCAACCTGAACAAAAAAAACCTAACCCAACAAGTAACTTCAGAAAGTTTCCTACAGGTTTTTGTTTAGAGAAGGAACGTTTCTGGTGTGTCCATTAAAGAAACTTGACTTGTGTCACAAGTAAATTTTTCAAGTATTAGCATTACCATTGGCTCCTTGCCCTGTGCAGCACAGGCAGGAAATATGAGCCAAATCATGTTTTGCTAAGCAGTTCCTATGGCTTTATACCTCTCCAGATTTATGATTTGCTAAGCTTAGAATTGTATCAATTAACTACAACACACTAAGGAGGGAGAATGTGGTTTGTGTGCTGTGATACATCTACAAACGTTTCTTAAGGGAAAACAATCCGACAGTTACCTCAGTGACATTGCCTTCCAGAACCATAACTTAATTTACTGCTCATTTATTAGGATCAGGAAGAGGAGAGGGATGAAATTCCAGAATTTTCTGAGCCTCTTCTGGAGCTTAATGGCCAGTTTAAAGTTGCCTCACCAAGATACAATGGGCCTTTGTTTCCTCCAGTGGCTTCTGCTCCTCAGCAGCCTCCTGATGTGTTGGATGAACTCATTCAAAGGAGAGAAACAATAGAAAACAGGTTGATAAACTGGTGAGTTGAAATGTACTGAAGTGGCAAAAGAATATATGGAAGAAGGAATGACTCCATAAGAATATCTTCCCCATCTTCTCCCCTCCATTCCCTCCTCCTTTTCCCTTGGAGCTGCCTTGCATTTGATATCAAGGATGCTCTTTTGTGTACTCCTAGGTGTCTTGGTGTTTGCTGATAGTTAAATGGGTTTTATTCTGCCAGGGTGGAACAAGAAATAATGGCAAAAATTATCAGTGGGATGTACCCAGCTCAGAAGGAAACAGTGCCCAGTGTTAGCATCTCAGAGAGTGAAGATGATGAGGCTGTCACCCCTGACATTGGTGAGTAGGCATTATTGTTGTCAGCAGATGGATTATCTCCATTTTTGGTTAATTTTAACAAGCTGTGTAGGTAGCTGCTGCCTGAGCCTAAGGGTGGATGATGCTGAACCAGTGAAACTGTAAAGAGCAGCAGTGCACACTTTAATTTGTGTTGAGACAGAGCAAGTGTTATAAGGCCATTGAAATAAATTACCTAAAAAAAAAAAGAAAAAGAAGACATAAATCACACCACTATACAAACCACATTCTGGTATTTGCCATCAAAATCAGAGCTGGCATTTTGCTAAGCCTGTAATGTTTGTTTGCCTTTCTTTTGTTAATAGATACGCAAAAAATTCCCTCCCTTGCAAATGTGTGAATGGAGAGAGAAGCATTTCTCCTCTGATGTCACTGCCTTTTGCTGTTCCCTTCTTTTATGATCCTGAATTGCTTCTTTCCTGTTATTTATCTGTAAAACAACAACCAAAATATCACTTTTTCAAAGGCATGTTTAAAAGTTCATAGAGAATAAAATAAGTGACAGCAGTACAGTCCATTCATTTTAGGAGGTGAGACCTGAACATGTGCTTTGTGTTTCCTCTTTCCAGCTGAAGTTGCAGGTGGTGGAGGATTTCAGCTCTTTGTCAGTGCTGGTGTCCCTGTAGACTCAGAAATGATAAAACATTTTGTAAATGAAGCTCTCAGTGAAACAATTGCAACCATGCTGGGGAACAGACAGGCTCAGACAGCAGTTCCTGATCCAAATGTTCTTCCAAGCACAGCCTCTATGATGGTAAGTGTCCATTTTATTTAAGATTTCCTACTGAAGTTCTAAGGGACAATTTCTTTGTGGCATGGTGATTCATAATGTGTAAGACAAAGATGACAGAAAAAGATGGATGAACTGAATGTGCATGATATGCCTTTTTTATTATTATTCCTTATTATATCCCAGCAAGCAACAAGATTAAACCTATTTACCCCTCTACTCTGCTCTGCTGAGACCCACCTGGAGTACTTCGTCCAGGTCAGGAGTCCTCAGCTTAGGAAGGGCATAGACCTATTGGAGCAAGCCCAGAGAAGACCATGAAGTTGGTCCAAGGTCTGGAGTACCTCTGCTATAGAGACAGGCTGAGACAGCTGGGATTGCTCAGCCTGGAGAAGAGAAGGTCCCAGGGACACCTTAGAGAACCTTGCAGTACCGAAAGGGGCTCCAAGAGAGCTGGAGGGGGACTTTGGACAAGGGCCTGGAGTGACAGGGCAAGGGGGAATGGCTTTCCACTGCCAGAGGGCAGGGTTAGATGGGATATTGGGAAGGAATTCTTCCCTCTGAGGGTGATGAGACACTGGCACAGGTTACCCAGATAAGCTGTGGCTGCTCCACTCCTGGGAGTGTTCCAGGCCAGGTTGGATGGGGCTTGGAGCAACCTGGGCTAGTGGAAGATGTCCCTGCCCATGGCAGAGGGTTGGAACTGGATGTTCTTTGAGGTTCCTTCCAACCCAAACCATTTTATGATTCTATTTCACTTTTTAAAAAAAAAAAAAGCAAAATCAATTCCTTTGTGCTGCAGTGTAAAGTGCTGTATTTATTTATTCTCTTCTAGACTGAGCACAAAACTGATTTCTAAGGAAAGGATTCAGTACTTAATTGGTTGTTGTCAAGAGATAGCTTGTGTTATTTTCCACAGAAATAGGTGTGCTGCTTTCTTGCAAACAAATGAAATGTGAAGAAAATAATTTCCTCATCTAAGAAGAAATGGAAGCTGAGAGCTTATGGGCTTAGAGCCATTCTTTAATATCTGTTAAAATGACTTAATTCTTTCTGAGATTTGAGTTCAGTAGTTGTCAGTAAATGCTTAATTGATTAGTAGAGCTTCCTGTAATACAGGATAATTTCCTCTGTTCCCTTTGATAATTAAGTGACAGCTGGTTCTTATTTGGGTAACAACATGGCTCTGCTGCAATCTGGTGTTGTGTAATGTCTTTGGGATGCATGTGGAAATTGCTGTGCTTAGAAATCCAACTACCGAAGGCTTTGTGGAAAGTGAGATGTGCTATTCTGTTTTGCTGCAGTGCACATAGACAGAAATGCCACCTGGTGCCTGCTGTAAGGGACCAGCAGGTTATTCTGTAGCCATCTCACTGCTGTGGGGGTGCATACAGCCATCCTGCATCTACAGAGCTATCCCCACCCCACTGCAGATCAATGAGGGTATCATGTCCAAGAGTTCCTTGTAGCTTCTGATACTTAGAAGCCTCTTCTGTTGTCCATTCAGCATTTACTAATGGCCCTCTTAAGCCTTCTTGTACCAGCTTAAACTGAAATATCCTTAGGCTGAAATGGTTGAGTTTTCCTTATTGTATATATTTGCATACTTCAAGAGATCAGTTTTGGCCTTTTTTGCCTTTGTTTGATTAGTCTAAATAAAGCAATCATCCATGTGTGAACTATTTTTTGCCTCTTACTGTTGGGCAGCACTTTGATGTTGTCCATTTTTCCTCGACCACAGGTAACAGTAAGGTGCTAATAGGCATTTTCAGTAATAATGCAGCCTGCAAGAAGGAGTTTCCTCGGTGCCTTGTGCTGTAGTGGTGATACTCTCCTGCCTTTGTTGGAATCTCAATAGCTAATTATGTTGTTTCCAAGTCTTTCCCCATTTGTGGGTAATTGCTGTCCTTTCACTTGTGCTATAATAAGGGTTTTTTCTTCTCTTTTTTCCATTTGTGCTCAACTTATAGCAGAAGTTCTTGAATATGTAGTTTATGCATTCTTGAGTTATCCCTTCTCACTGTGAAGTTTCCTATCTAGAACTTCAGCTGTTACCAAGTTGTTTGGTGCTCCCAATGCTATTGTGTGTGAGCTGCAAAATGTGTTAGCATGTTCCACTTTCCATAGGAGTTTTTAATAAAAATCATCAGTCTGAGGATTTATTCCTCAAACTTAACTGGAAGTCTTCCTATAGCCTCATTATCTTGTTTTCTTCATAAATGTCAGAGAAAGAAGCTGGAAAGAGTCTGGGAAGGTCCATCATATTCCTCCATAGCAGAGTAAACAACAACCATCATATTTGCTTGTCAGATTTATGTCCTTTGCTGTCATCTTTTAAAGGAACATCACAATTATGTTTGTGCTTATTTTAGTGCTTTACTGTCTTGGCTATTGCTTTGTTTGTAATCTTCTTTTTAGCTGATTTTCTTAGCATAAAATTTTATCCATATCACAAAATGTTTTCTTGCATAACATTGTATCAAATGCTTTATTCATGTAATCATATAAGTCATATTTATAGTGGACATTAGGAAGCAATTCCTTAGCAAGAGGGTGGTCAAATCCTGGAACAGGACTGGAGCATCTCCCCTGTGAGGACAGGCTGAGGAAGTTGGAGCTGTTCAACCTGGAGAAGAGAAGGTTGTGTGGAGACCTTAGAGCAACTTTTCAATGTCTGAAGGGCCTACAAGGAGCCAGAGAAGGACTCTGTGTTAGGCACTGCAGTGATAGGACAAGGGGTAATGGGTTCAAACTGAAGGAGGGAACGTCTAGGTTGGATGTGAGAAGAAAGTTTTTTCCTGTGAGGGTGGTGAGACACTGGCACAGGTTGCCCAGGGACGTGGTGGCTGCCCCAACCCTGGCAGTGTTCAAGACCAGGCTGGATGAGCCTTGAGCAACCTGATGTAGTGAGGAGATGTCCCTGCCCAGGGCAGGAGGTTTGGACTACATGACCTGTAAGGTCCATTCCAACCCCTAAATTCTAGGATTCCTAGGGAGGTGATAGATGCCCCAAACCTGTCCACCTGCCTCTGAGACACTGACAATGCCCTTAACAACATGCTATAACTTTTGCTCAGCCCGGGATTGATCAGGCAGTTGGACTAGATGATGGTGGTAGGTCCCTTCCAACTCAAATTGTCTGTTCTATACGTAATGAATTCCCAGTGTGATCATTCTAATGCATAATTTACTGGCTTTGATTTATTTTGTCCAGGCACACGTTTAGCCTGGTGCAACTTTCTGTTTCAATGGAGGAGTTAGGTCCATGAAAGATGTATCTAAGCAACAACTGTTCCTGTTCTGTGGTAACCTGCCTTTCTCTCTCCTCCACAGCTATCTCTGGGGATACTTGGAAGACAGGAATTTTGCATTGAGATAACAGCTGTGGTTATGATTTTTCTTCCCCTCAGGAGTCTCTCGTGCCTACTCCATTGCCAACACCTCAGGCCACACCACCACCATCACCACCTTCAGAAAAAGTAATGCCTCCAGTCAAAACTCCAGATTCATCTCTGTCTCCCACAGAAATGAGTGGGGATGTTCCTGGACATGAAAAAATTAAAGAAACAGGTATGGAAAATAATAATTGAAGTTTAGGAGCAGCAAATATGCTTTAATCTACTGCCTTTAATTTTCTTCTTCAAAGCCATGTTATCTCTCAGGATAAATAGTCTTGAGGCTATAATTCAAGTGGGAGCTCATGTAGTACAAAAGATATGGGGTAATTTATATAAAAAAGCAAACATCTTTTATTTGAGAACAGTTCTATTTTCAAATTGAATGCACATTTCTCTGCTCTGTGTGATTTCCACCCCTCCCAACCCCTCCACAGTTTTTCGCATCAGAAAAATAGCTCTTTTGCTCCTTCCTGAGTTTCTAAGCCAAATGTACACGCTCCAAGTAAAGCAGCTTAGTTTTGTAGAATGCAGACGAGTCTCCTTTACTGAATGCAGTAAGAAATGGAGGTTTTATTCTAATTTCCTTAGGTGCTCACACTGCTTAAAAGAAGCTATTCTTAATCTAATCTCGTCTCCATAACTATCAAAAGATATCACAAAAGCTACAAGTGCTTACTAGAACTAACTCTGTCTGAGATTAGCTTTCTGCTTTCCCTTCTGATCTGTGATTTGGCTTCTCATGTCCAGGAGCTGAGATTCCAGCTGCCGCCATGGGTCATGTTGGCACACCTGTGGTTACTCCTGTCAACACACCTCCTAGAGTAGCCACACCAAGCCCTCCTGCCTCAGAATGGGGCTCTGAAACTCCAAAGCCTCCAAACCCATGGGATGGTGCAGAACTGCCTCTGGAAGAGGAGAAACCTAGCCCTGTAACTGAAGAGTTCCATCCCAAAGCTGTGTGAGTTGAACAGGCCACATAGTTCTCTCATTTCTTAAAGACTTAAATGTGTATATTTTTTCTACGTATGTCCTCAAAGAGTCAGGAGATAGAAATGCTCAGTGGCAGAAGACAGTGAGATAAGCCAGGATTCTTTTCTTTTTAATTGCTTGGATTGTATTTTGGAGAAAAATGTGGAATCAGGGCCTTTGACAGGATTCATCAGTCCTTATT